CATGTCCTATCTGCCGTACTTTAGATACGGCCTCGGATACGGCACTGTTTACAAGTTAGGTGACTTTGTTCGCTTACGGCTCAACGTGCCTTGATACTTGATACTTTGGCATGTGCCTGGCGTAGCCGCCTCTCGCAGAATTTAGTCAACTGTCATGTGTTCCTGGTAGGAACTATTATCACAAAATGAAATCCACACTACGGTAATTTACAGGTGGGTGACTTAACTTCGCTCACGGTTCAACGCGAATTGTCCTAACAACCAATTCCCACCGCTTTACTTTTTAGGGCATTTTTGAAAAAAGTAATCCTTATATGTGTAAGCGGAACTTCGTGAAACATGAAAACATCACGTTTTATTACGGCTCGCTAAGGCACCTTTATTATACCAAGGGGTGCGCGAAGGAGCGCGGCCCACATATGAGGACTTCGTACGCGACATCCAAGAAAGACGGTCGATAAATAGAGCAATGTATCGAGCCATTGTTACTGTTCAATAAACGCCCATTGTAAATTGTGGTACAGTGTTTAATTTAGGGATGTAATACCCCTAATCCTCTATAAAGTTAGTGAATCTTTTACATATGTATATTCACTTTGGCTGTTAGTTCGGTCGACTGCAAAGGGTTTTGAAGTATAACTCGAAACAATCCTCGTAGAATGCTCGAGCTCGAGTTTTGGAGAAGTGTACTCACAAAGGGCGATTTTTCCAAATTAAGTATAAAAGAGAACCTCAGTTTGATTCTTGCGGTACTCCCTCATTGAATGTTGCCAAAGGGGCGTTAGCGCGGAACGAAACCGAAAGATTTAATCTTGCCATTTGACGAAATGACATAAAAGCTCCATTTTACTGTTACTACCCGTGTGAACAGTTAACTTGCAGCGGAAGATAATGTCGTCCATACACAATGCACTGTTTTCAAGTTTGTGAAAGTGTACGCGTGCGAAAATTATTAATTGTGATCGTTTTCCAGGTATAACGATAAGATAATAGTCAGCGACTCAGTCTTGACACGCCAAGGACTTCCCAGTCTCACGCGGCCGGGCGAGATGAGCACCTAAAATTACACCTTAGGTAGGTTAATGAGCTTAAAATTTGTCTAAAATTCTTCCTCATCGCCGAGGCATAATAAATATGCAAATCATCCATCCAAAATAGCGGCTGTTAGAGTAAATGGAAGCGTAAAAAAATTGATTAATTCTGACATGATGTTAATGACCGTCCTGGCAGGTGGCCATTACTGTTTACAAACAAATTGTTATTAAAATAAAACTTTTTTGTACCTACACGAACGCGCTGTCTTTAATATTAATACATCATGTCATCGCGCCTCCAAACCGAACCAAAACACGTCATTCAATTTCAGAACGGAAAAAAGTCCGCAGTCAAGATCTTTATAATTAATGGCGGCTCGAAGAGGCGCCCGCATAATGGACTTGTTTATATTACTTGCAAATAGAAAATCCCATGAAACGATCTTTTATGCAGATGCAGTAAATCCATTCGTTTTCGGTGGATTTATACAAAGAAACGTTGTAGACATACATGATGTAGTGTTAATTTAATCTTGCCGCTCTTTGGCCTATATACACCCGGTCGCATTTAAATTACACCGACTTTTATCCTTGAAAACCAGATCTTGGTGGGAATGTTGCGCCATTCTTTGGATTAATTGTAAAGAACCCATTTCATTGTGATATTAGATTTTTTTAAATTTTTAATTATTTTTTATAAAACGCCATAGATCCAAAGTGAATAGTTTTTTCTACATTGGTGATGACACGTAGTTTCCCTTGGACAGTATTTGCTAGGGGACTTTTTATGTAATCTGTTTGTCAAATGTAAGTAAATGTCCTGTAAGTGGTGTACAAATTGCAAGAATTTGGTAATTATGGTACCTGGTAGACCTCTTGAGGCAAAAACATAGGACACAGTAAGGAGAATTGAAAAATTCAGTTATTGCAAAAAAAAGTGCACCCACCGTAATAGGATTGGCAACAGTTTTGACAATTTTACATGAAAAGCTCGATGAAAAGTGACGAAGTGTCCACGAGATGGATACCCATACTCCTCAGACCAGAACAGAAACTTGTCATAAAAATTTCAATTGTTCAAAACAAAAAAAATCCCGAGAAATGTGTAATACAAATCTTTATAATTATTGCTGAATAATCTGCCGTTTTCAGAATAACTATACGGGCAGGTAAAAGTTATCGGACCTAACCTCATTTTTTAAAATGAAATAACTTGTAGACTTTGGTTTAACTTTAAATAGTAGCATATTAAATTCTCTTTTCAAAAATATAGGCACAAAATAAAGAAAAATTCCCAAAAATTAGACCATATTCAAAAGGGTTAAAAATATTAAAAAACTTGAAATCTTTTGTGGATTTTCTTGAACCCGTTTACTTAATTTTTTTTGAATATTTTTGAACCTTTTTTAATCACTTGAATCTCTTTAAAATCATCTACAGTGTGTGTGCTACCATATGTTTAGAAAAAAAATGTAATATGCTATTTCTTTAGATTAAAATATAATTCCAATAAAAAATGAGGTTAAATCCGATAACTTTTTCACCTGACCGCGTAAATTTTTTTAATTTGTTTGAATCATTTAAATCTTTTTGAATATCATCCTTGGTGTGTTATATTTTTGAAAAGATAATTTAATATACTATATCTTTTTACATTAAATATAATATACGGTGTTCCATTTGCAAAAATAATCAGATAACTTTTTTTACCAGCCACGTATACTTGTTTTCAAAACGGTAGATTATTCAACAATCATTATAAATAAAGTTTGTTACAAAGATTTTTCTGTATCTCTTTTAACAAAAAAATATATAGGATCACTCTAAAATTGACAATTCTTTTTTCACGCGTATCTCTCAAGCGAGCGAATGTTTTCTAATTTTGATTTCACCATTTTAAGTTCGACTCAAAAGAAATATATGAATTAATTTTTAATTAAGGAGATACCCTAAATAAGTACGTAGAAAAAAATGGGTGGTAGAGGATCGAAACAAAGACTTTGAAAAATTGTTCGTCGCCCCTCAGTCTCATCTGCTTTTCTTTTTTATTTTCATTTACACATAGAAGGATTAAATTAGCCGATTTGGCTAGGTTTTGGCGTACGACTTGCATGATTTTCCAAAAATTGCAACCCCAAGTTGGTGCGGAATCAAACAAAAATCCAGAAACCAAATTTCTGGTCAAAATTTGAAAACATTTTGGCAGATACGAAGGAAAACCAAGAAAGTTTTTAGAATCAGTAGGCATACAAAGTCAGGTAAAAAAAAGTTATCGTATTTAACCCTATTTTTTTAAATGGAGTGCCCTCTATTTTTAATCTAAAGAACTAAACATAGTATGATATTAAAAAAAGATTCAAAACAATTAACAAAGATTTTAAAATATTCAATAAAGATTTAAAAAAGTAGAAAATGTTCCAGAAAATTCAAAAAATGTGTTAACCTTTTTGATTTTCGTTTAATTTGTTTGGAATTTTTCCTTATTGTGTGGCTATATTTTTGAAAAGAGAATCTAATATGCTATTTTTTAGACTCAAATCTGCAAGTTGTTCCATTTAAAAAATGAGGTTAGATCCGATAACTTTTTGACCTGGTCCCGTATTGTTATTCTGAAAACGGCAGATTATTCAACAATCAATTATGAAGACAATAAACATTTTTCGGGGTCTCACTTCACGTTCATTCTGAAATTGACAAATTTCGATTTTACCATTTTAAGGTTGACCCAAAAAGAGCCTCTCTATTACTTGTTTGATAGTACCAACATTTACGGAGGTGTCCTATAAAAGTGTCGAAAATGGACACTATACATCAGCTGAGATAAGTAGCGTCCCAATAGATCAATAATACGAGGGCTATTTTTTTTTCAAGTTCCGATCGATCAGTACGTAAAATTAGGAAGGAGTATTCGAATGAGCGTTTGGTTTTTGAGAATAGTAGGCTTCCCCCACCACTAGCAGTTTTAGCTAGGCTGACCGATCAGTTTTCTCCACGACAGTGAAGGGTAAACATGTCATCCACAATCGACTCTGCCGCCAAGTGCGAACTCCGCTCTGTAATTTCTCTGTGCTGAGGGGCATAACGCTGCGGAAATCCACCGGAGAATGAGCAAAGTGTATGGTGACAACTTCATGAGCGACAGTATGGTCCGGAAATGGTGCCGGGAGTTCAAAGAAGGACGAACTGACGTGCATGATGAAGGCGGCCAGGGAAGAAAGTCTGTGGCGACCGACGATTCTGTGCATGCATTTCATCTCTTTCCTAAATTGAAACAAGCTCTAGGAGGAACACGTTTCAGAACAGGAGAGGAGCTCCAAGACATGGTCAGAACATGGTTGGACGAGCAGGCGGCGGACTTATACGAGGAAGGTATTATCAAGCTAGTGCCCCGCTATGTGAAATGCTTAAATCGCCTTGGCGATTACGTAGAAAAGTAGAGTAAGGTTGTAGCTCCGTATGTAAATAAATATTTGTATATACTTACCTTTGTTTTTATTTGACAGCCAATCGGAACTTGAAAAAAAATAGCCCTCGTAAAATAATCATTCTTGATTAAATTAAGTGGTAGAGCACAATTTTCATTTATTCCAAGTTTCGTCCGAAAAACGGAAGGATATTGCCTAGCATATTCATATAATCCCATTACAGTGTGCACATTTTAAATCCTTAGAGGTTTTGTGAGTTATGAGATGCAGTTTCAGGACATGGTTGCGATGTACAGCAAAATCACACTGTGCACATTTTAAAAATAATTATGCATACTTAACTTTTTCGTACCGGAACATACGAAGTCCACAGCGGGCTAGGCCCAGATGACTAATTTAGTGTGTGCAGGAGAAGCCAACTGGCTCCGTGGCGCACTAAGGTGGAATTAATAGAATATGAATAGTGGAAGTGCGTGATCTTCTTACGCGCCAGGTACAGTAGGTCGGTTTATAATCACACTGTGCACATTTTAAATTGTTCGAAGACGAGATCTCATTTACCGGCACATACGAAGTCTACAGCGTGCTATGCGCAGATCGAGGCGTACATGACTAATTTAGAGTCTGCATATATACCTGATGACTCCACGGAGGCAATGGGCTTCTCCCTCAGACTCTAAATTAGTCATCTGCGTATAGCCTGCTGTGGACCGCGTGGGTGCCGGTACCAGAAAGTTAAGTAGGTAAACATGGTGTGATTTTCCTACACATCAACACAATGTCCTGAAATTGCATCTCTTAATTCACAAATCGTATAAGGATTTAAAATGTGGACACTGCAATGGCATTATATGGATATGTTAAGACAATGTCAACCTGTCCATACATATGAGGTTCGCCGGGATAGGCGAAGGTGATACAACGTTGATCGGGTCTGCTATTGTCTATATCAGTGTTTCTCAAACTGTTTTGTCTGGCGGCACACTAAAATTATTAAACAAAATTTTGCGGCACCCCTAGTATTATTATTTTTTTGCTTTTTTACAGTTAGTAAAGAGATGAAGGATGAGTGGTCTTTACAAAAAAAATTTCTAAACACAAAAGCATTTAAAACTAGTTGTCAGGTAAACTCCTGACTTGACTTTCCGACTACTTTTAATAGTCATTGCAATTATCTGTGGCCATAGTATAACATTTAGAAAATGCCCTCTAGCTCCTTTATTTTGAACCTGACGCAAAAAGTGTAGAAGTCTTTTTTATAGACCTCATCAAGACACATCTTTTTTGTGATTGACATTTTTCACTCTGATGCTTACTTTTAGAGAAAAATGAAATTTAGAAAAATAAAATAAATAGTTTATCTATTCAATTCAAAACTTCTCAAAAACAAAGGAACTCTCAAAAAAATTGTAATGAACTGTTTTGTAGAGTTTTTTAAGCCATTTTGGTCAGTGTATGCGAAAAACATTTAAAAAAATGTTTTCAAGCCGTTATGACTATTTGAAAATTTTGACACCTTCAACAACCTTGAAGGTGGTTACGGATCAAAACCAAAATAGGACGTTTTGGATTCCCCATACCACCCTATATGCACCCCAAATATAAGTTATAAGAT